TACCAAGCTCTTCCTAGATCTACCTTGGAGCGATTTTCCATTCAAACAGGCCTGACCCTGTTCTGCCAAGCCGCTACAAAATAGCAACAACAACAAGAACTTAAAGATGGCTCAAAGCCGAAACCGATCCGAAACCGGTTCGAGCATGAAAGAACCGAGAACCTGCAGGCCAGACTGAGACTCGGCTCCAAACTGAAGCCACGGTTCAGGTGCAGCAGTAGCAACAGCAGCTCCACAAATGGCAGAAGCATGCAGCAGGCACGAGATGGGTGGGGGGGACGCATCGGAGAGCGGAGAGCGTCCTCCTGTTTCTCCTGTTCCATTGGAATGACAATCGAATGGGGAGGGAGGGGGGTGGTCTGGAATCTGGTTTTGATTCAATTTCCATTTTGATTGTATTCCGAAGTGAGGGAAACACCCAAACCCCAAAGCCACCCAAATGGTAGCCCAAAACGGGGCCAGTGGCACGCACAACAAGCTTAATGGTTTCCACCTTCAAAGCTCCCTCCCTCCCACGGCCAATGACATAGCCCCATAACCACCCACCCATCGACCTCCTCCGCCTCCTCCTTCACCATTGAACATTTGTATTTTATTGAATGGCTGACGAATGAACTTAATGGGTGAATGGTCCGTACTGAATCCGTCTGTGTGAATGGCCATTCTTTCCACTACGTGATGGGGCGGGCGGCTGCTGTTCTTCCCGATAAAGCGGCATCCACAGAAGCAGACGGCAAGAGCAACAGAAACAGCGATAAGCAAATGCGGCGATAAGGCGTTCCTGCCCCCGCCTCCACCAGTGCGTATAAAACATGGGCAACAAGCGAAGCGATTCTATTTATAAATCGCACAGTTATTTTGCTGTAAATACCCTGCAATTAGGAGGGCCATCAACTGATTACTGGGTCCGCCGTTCTGGACCAAACTAATTGTAACCCCCCTAATAACAGATTACTCTCCAGCCACATGCAGAGGGTACAATTTTGCACAGAAGCTTGCAGCTGAGAAAATGTAAGACTTTCCAATATGATTGGGATCCTTTTCAAGCTAGGGTATCTACGACTTCGACCCCCCACCAACGCCCCTGCTCTCTTGCTCTTTCTATGTGTTTGCAGAGCGGGTCACGCACTCAAGCCAATTGGCATTTGGACTTCTCACTCACTCTCTGGCAAAAGATTTAAATGCGGAATGAAACACGATTTGTGCACGCGAGAAAAGTGACCGACTAACGAAAGTGATGTCATTAGCGGTGTGTGCTATTTTAATGGCTACTAGTGCTTTTATGGGATTGCTAAGGATGTGCCACAAGTGGTTGCGGGGGACAGCTCAAGCGGAAATGCCTCACATAACGCAACAGGTGCGTATAGTGCTCAACGGGGGACAGAGAGTGGCGGAGAGAGTGGCGGAGAGAGTGGCGGAGAGAGTGGCCAACCGCCACTCAAAAAGATAGCTCAGAATGGAGTCGATTTTTTTTTTCACAGCTGACGCCACTGGAGCGTGATGAGGGAGAGGGACAGGGATGGCTAGAGGGACTAGCAACTAGAGCCTGATAAAAACTAGTAGCACTCACCTGATAATACGAATCCGACATGGTTTATGTAGTTACACGTTGAATCACTCGATGCCCTTGTTGCTTTCGTTGTTGTTATAGTTGTTTAGTTGTTGTTGCTATTTCCTTAGTTGTCAGTTTATATATGTATGTATATTTTTGGCTATTAAGTGGCGCCGCACAGAAACACTCACGCGTCCGCGTATTCCGTTCGTTTTCGTGTTTGCTCTTTTGTTTACCTTTCTTTGAACAAATAAAACATATAAGTACATATGTATATGTATGATACCGTTGTATGTATTGGGACTGTTTAACACTTAAACATTAACACCTGATGCGCGCGCCCCAGCTCTCCCTTTTATTCGATTCCCCCCCCTGCCTACCGATACACCGCAAGCAATGAATAGATTTCGGTTGTTTGCTAGGGAAGGGGGATAGCAACTCACGCACACACCGCCAACAAGTGGCCGGTTCCATAGGTGAGAGTGGGTACGCGCGATTGTGTTCGTGCCAGCGGATGAGCCCGTGAGAGGGATAGGGAGAGTGGAAGAGGCAGAAGAAGAGAGAACAAGCGTCATTTACAATTGTTGCTTTTGCGGGAACAAAGAGCTGCTTCTGCTTCTGCCGCTGAAGCTGTCTCTGTCTCTGTCGCTACCTCTACCTCTGCTGCTGCTGCCCATCCACGTTGCAGCTTATTTGCGGCTACAAATTATGCATATTTCCAAAGAATGTGCTTAGGGAATCTGCAGCTGGATTAATTAGCTTCAATTGAAAACTGGGCTCTGGTTCCGCTCCCGATTAAAACAGTAAGTGGCTGGTGGCTGCCGCTGCAATCGGTTTATAAATAACAGATCTCAGGGGAGGGTGCAGGCGCGGCACTGACGGCACGAATAATGCTCAGAACAATAAGGTGAGGCATTCCGATCGACAGCCGAATATTGCTTCATTGATCGAGAATACCCCACCCCATATCGATACACCTTGCTACGCATCAGACAGCCGCAACTGGCGCAAAAAAAAGTGGATCGCACATCTAAAAAAGGGGGAACAGCCTCGCCTCTCTCCCCGCACAGCACACGGATGCACCTTGAAACAGCAGCACGGCCAAGATTGTTTCAACAAAAGTTTCAGCGCACCGAAAACACTCACAAACACACGCACGCACTCACAACTATCTACATGTACGGTATCTTCATCATCTTTTATCTTTTATACATATTTCGTGTTATCTCGCTCACAAAAATTCTCCTCTTTTCTTTTCTTGCGTCTGTGTTGTGTACGGAAAGTGGAAAGGAGGCAAGGAATGCAGAATATGAGGAGTGGGGAACGTACACCGCGTCTCAAAACATAGCGCATGCGTCGGATAGCAGGTCCTTTACCATGTGCATTTAACTAAAACACCGATTTTTATTTATTTTTATTATTTTTAAGCGAAAATTTCGTGCGACCACCGATATATCACATATCTACACAACAACACATTTCTACACAACAACACCTTTGCTACACGCTTGCTACATAATGGAAGGAAAAAGAGGGTATGGGCAACAGGCGAAACGGCCCAGAAAATGAAACGCATGCATGGTAAAATCCACCCCATTTGCTCAATATACCTTTAAGACAAAAATTAGATTTTTTTCTCCAAGGTATATTGAGCTCATACGCGAATGAGGTTCGTACGAACCTTGCAATTTGCGTTGGCTTTTTTTGCCTGTTGTCCATACCTCTTTCTATAGCCCATTTAAAATTACGACTCATTTTTTCGTTGGACTATGAGCGTCTGCACTCAGAAATATACCGAAATATACCTTATTTTCAAATGAGTACTAAAACCGAAATATTTTAGATCATTATTTTCTTGGTTACAATAATATAAAAAACGATTTTTCTTTATATAATATAATTGTCTTTTGATAATATAAAGCAGATATTCGTTTACCCTAATCATCGTTCACTGTTAGACTCCATTTTGCAAAAAAGTATATCTTTTTCGGGCTTAGATTGTCGTACAAATAATAGATTTAAAATAGTTGTATTCGTAAATCTATTTCTTATATTGGTTTTCAGTGCATTTCTACCGACGCCCTCTATGCCCTTTATAGCAGAATGTGACCTAATACTTCTAATACTTTTAAAGCCTGCAATCTTAAATTTATTTGTTTTTACAGACGGTACTGCATGCATATAATAGAACATACTAATAATAGGAGCTAAAATCTAAGCCGCTGGCTTCTTGGGTAGAGAGCCGAAAGCAGATATGACCGTGCCCTTGGTGCCAGTCACTGTGGTGGTGAGAGCAGGCAGGGTTTGCTTAACGCTGGATGATGAGGCCGGTTGATCCCACTTGGATTTGCTACAAAAGATGTGGTTTAAATAAAAAAGAACTTCTCCCATACTTCATAACCTACCGCTTCTTGGCCTCCTCCTCCACCTTGCGTGCAAGCGCCGTGGCCTGCTCTACCTTGTCCACCTCCTTGCGATCCTTCTGGCGCTTCACCATCTCCGTTTTCTGCACGGCCGATAGGGCCTCGTAGTAAGACTCCTCGCCCCACCGCAGCGGATCGTAGATCTCCGGCGGATAGTTGGTGCCGAACTCATTGATGTCGCAGAAGCTTATCAGCTTGTCGTAAATGCTGGGATTGCGGAACTCCTTGCGGTCCTGAATGACCCGATTCATGTCCATGTTGGTCTGCCGCATTTTCGTGTACATTTTGGTTATTTTGGACACCAGCTCTGGTGACGGCTTCCCCTTGGGCTCTGGCGGAAGCTGGAACTTGTATTTGGCGTATTTTGGGTCCTTCTCATAGCTCTCCGCCGTGCGTTCATCGGGCTGGTAGACATTCGAGTCGTCGTCCACCTCCATGGGTGCTTCCTCGGCTTCTCCCTCGCCCTTGGCGCTGCTCGTGGCCTTGGCACCATCGCTGTCCCCACCAGAGTTATCGCTGTCGCTGCTGGACTCCTCCTCGCTAGGCTCGTGGGCGCGATCTTCCTCCTCGTCGGAGATGAGTGTGTCGTCCTGGTAGCTCACCAGACGCCGCACTTTCTTGGCCCGCTTCGTCTTCTTCTTGGACTTCTTGGGCCGCGGCTCCTCCTTGACAGGCGTGGGCGATGGACGCTTTGGTATGATCACCTGGCAGTGGAAAGTGTTTAATTCTTGGAAAGTAAATCATATGATTGTTACTCACCTGGGACGCTGTCGAATTTTGGGAATCCGGACTGGCATCGCCTTCGTTCTCGGAGTCCGTGTACTGTGCGGTCAAACTGGCCAGAGCGGCCATGATTGCGGGATTGGAGTACTTGGCTCTTCCGGATTTATAGTTTTATCTTAACAATTTTGGGTAAAAGCGCGTAAATTTCTTTATTTTCCGTCTCAAGCCAGGGCTGAACAAACCCGATATTTGTATTTCTTAGTGCTACCCTGGTCTCACTCCATAGGGATGGCAAAGCAGCGATAACAGAAGAAATCGAACTCGTCAACAAATTTGTATGGAATTAATAAAAATGAGCGCCACACAGGATAAAAAGGAGGATCAGGACCGCATACAGAGGCGGGTCAATAAGATACTGGAGGCCCGTCTGGAGTCCGATAAGGTGGGTCTAACCGCCAGTCCGAGACAGCGCTTGAATGTGCGACTTACCTTCAATTCCAGGACACTCTCGATGCTCTCAACGGTCTCTCCAGCTTCTTCAACGAGAACACCCTGCAGAATCGGCGGAATCTCCGCAGCCAGATCGAGCATCGCTCCGTAGGAATCAATGAAAACTTCCTGAAGGCCTTCCGGGAGGTCAAGCTGTCGCTGGATGCAGTCTGCACAGAATTGGACACCATGGCCACGTCAGTGCAGACCATGAAGTCCGACCTGGAGACGTCCAAGGCTCTGACCAAGGACCTGATCGAACAGACCAATACAATGCAGCAGGAGCGGGATCGCCTGGAGGTGCATCAACAAATTGCCCAGGCTTTCTTGGCCCGATTCCAGCTAACGGTGCCGGAGCACCAGCTGCTCTACGGCAGCGCCAAGGATGCTCCGATTGTGGCCGACTTTTTCAGAGTTCTGGATCGGGTGCAATCCATACATTCCGACTGCCGGTTGCTGATGCAGTGCGGCTACCAGACCGCGGCCCTGGACATCATGGAGGAGATGACCCTGCATCAGGAGGGGGCGCTCGAGCGGCTCTACCGCTGGACGCAGAACCACTGCCGGAACCTGGAGAACAACGAAATCGGCCCCCTCATTGTCGAGGCCATGCGCCGGCTCCAGGATCGTCCTGTGCTCTTCAAGTGGGTTTTTTAATGGAGTTCCTTCAGATTCGATATAAAAGTAATCTCTTTTAGATATGTGATTGATGAGTACGCCATTGCCAGGCGCGCTGTCCTGGTCCGGCTGTTCATTGAGGCCTTGACGGAGGGCGGACACGGCGGCAATCCCAAGCCCATTGAGATGCACGCCCACGATCCCAAGCGATACATTGGGGACATGTTCGCCTGGCTGCACCAGAGCATTCCCTACGAAAAGGAGAACCTCACGCTTCTCTTCAAGAAGTGCGACAAGCAGGGTGAGCACGAGGACACAAGAAACCAGAACTATTCCCATTCTGATGTATGGCTTCTCCTCAGACATTTCGGACCAGCTGCAGGCTGCCCTGGGCTACATAGCTGATGGAGTTCAACATCCGTTGAAGGTGCGCGTGGAGACCATCCTCAACTCGGAGAAGGACACCATCGTACTGTTCACGCTCTCCAATCTGCTGCGCTTCTACCAGCAGATCATGAAGCAGGTGGTGCAGGGCGGCAGCCTAGAGGAGTGCCTGGTGGATCTGCAGAAGAGCAGCGAGCAAATCTATCTGCATTCCCTAGCCACTCAGGTGCGCAGTGTGCTGCAGCGTCCATCTGGGTCCAGTATGGCTCTGGAGCCGCCGCAGCGGGACTTGGTGCCACCGCCGAGCGTGTCCCGTTTGCTCAATATGCTGAAGGAGATCCTGTCGGTAGCTACGATGGTGGATGGTCGCCAGGCGGACATCACCAAGATCGTGAGCTGTGTGATCGATCCCCTGCTGCAGTCCGTGCAGGAGAGTGCCGCCCACCTGCCCACCGTGGACATGGGCGTGTATCTTCTCAACTGCCTGTACCACATGCAGAGCACGCTGGCCGTCTACGAGTACATGGATGAGCGCGTGGAGCGGCTGCAGGGACAGTCGGACGCCCAACTGGACACGCTCACCTCGGAGCAGGCCTCCTCGCTGGTGGCCAACCTTAATCTGGGGCCCATCTACACCATTCTGCAGAGCAATCAGTCAAAGATCGAGACCAATCTGCTCAAGATCTTCACGTCGAAGTTGGACGCCTTCCTGGAGCTGCCCGATGTGCTGCTGCTGCCCCAGGTGCAGCTCATCATGTCCAGCAGCCATCGGGCCACTGTCCAAAAGCGGGCCTTCAACGTTATCGTGGCCATTTACAAGCAGATCTACGAGCGTGTCCACGATCCGGCCAATGGCTTCGAGCAGCCGGATCAACTGCTCCACAAGACGCCCGATCAAGTGGCCCACATCCTCACCGCCTAGTGGCCTATTTATTCCTAGTTGTAAAAATCCCCCTATTCTGGCACACAAATATAAGTACATCAGGGTTGTATAGTATCGAGCGGTGTTTAATTAATCTTATAGATAATATTGTATCTTATTTAGTTGCATATCTGATGGAATCAATTAAGTATTAGCACACAATTAAAGGAAATTATACAACTTAGCAAATGAGCACAGATGCCTATGGCGCAGGCTAGTCTGAAACTCTGCTTATTTCTTCCACAGACAAATTTAACTCATTTTAATTTGGCAAATACATTTCCACACCCCTCTTACACTGCCATATAGAATTTATTATCGACAAGTGGTCCAAAGACCATCCCAAGTGGACTAAAATCAAAGGCATAGGTAAAACTAATTTAACCTAAGAGTTAAATAAAGGCCAAGTATCTAGAGTTCCTCCGTTAGGTCATCGTGACGGTGGCTCGCTGGAACAGATCCAGTGTGAGGGAAGAGAAGAATGGGGGGAATGAGTTATTGGCTGCCAGCTGCTGGTCGAGGGCTGGCTGTAGTGTCTCCGAGTAGGGGGTTTCGAGCAGGGCCAGGTCGTTGCTTTCGCTTAGGGCGATGGAGAAATAGTCGTCGGGACTCTCCGCATACATGCTCGTAACGCTGCAGAAAGAAATCTTCTATGAGTCACTATACAGGGAGTGGATCTGGGGGTTGTAGACTCACCGATAGTTGCTCTTGTAGCCAACGCGATCGATGCGGTAGCCGAGGAGCATATAGACAACGTCGCGGAACTCCTTTCTGGCCGCCATAAAGTATTCCTTCGTCTTGCCCAGCTTGGCGTTGGCCGACTCGAGCTCGGCGCGCAGCTTGTTCAGCTCCTTGAAGTTCATGGTCATGCCCCCCGTGCTGGTGCTGGTGGTCTCATTCAGGTGCTGCTCGTTGGCATCCTCGAGCTTCTTGTTGTGCCGCTTCAGACGCTCGATCTCGGCCTGCAGCTTCTCGAGCATGTTCTTGGACGACTCGTAGGCCTCGGCGGCGGGATTGTCAACGAGATGCACCACCTTGCTAATGGGCGGGCTGATGTCCTGGCGCAGACAACGTTGCATTATCTCCAGCTCCTGCTCTTCCTTGCGCCTGCGTAGGCGGTCGTTTTCGAGGCGCAGCGTGTCCAGTTCCTTCTTCACGTTTTCATAGTCCTCGCTAGACGGATCACTGAGCTGCTCCTGTTCGCGCATGGCCTGGATCTCACGGTCTAGTGTGGTACACAGATCCTTGTAGCCAGTCAACGTGCGCTCCAGGACATCCACGCGATAGCGCACCTGCATGTCTTGCGTCATCTCAGCCACGCTTGCATTGCTCATGGTCAGATCCTTGTCGAAATTGTCCACCATCTGCTTGTAAAAGTCGCGCTCCCTAGACACCGTGCGCAGCTTGCGCTGTAGACGGTCCTTGAAGTTCTTGTGCCGCTTTAAACTCATGTTCAGATCCTCGATGTTCTTGAGGTAGACCCGGATCTTTTGTTCCAAGTCCCGCACAAGATTGCGCATCTGTTTGGACTCCGATTCGGAGGCGTATTTCTCGGATACATGGACTATGTCCCCTTGAAGCAGCTGCTCGATGCGGGAGCGCAGGGTCACAGGACTGACCAGAGTGTTGGCCAGACAGTGATCCTGGGCGACCTTGACCCACTCCTTGAGCTCCCGCTCCGTGTGCGAAAGCTTCACCTGCAGCGCGGCCGCCTCGGCGCGAGACCCCTCCTCCTTGTCCAGCCGCGCCTTGTACTCGTGAACCTGCTCCTCGAGCAGCAGTTTGTCGCCAATAATCTTGTTCAGCTGCTTGTTATGGACGCGTAAACGTTGCAGCTCGGAGTCCATTTCGGGAATGCTGGCCAGACGCTCCTGCGAGACTTTGGTCACCTGCTTCCAGTCCGTGTACGACTGGATCTCGAACTCCAGCTCCTTGATGCGCTCATCAGCCACCTTCAGGCTCTGCTGCTGCTTCTCGAAGTTAGCTCTCAACTCCTCGTAGCCGGACATACGAGCCTTGTACTCGTCGTGGCGCTGCCGGATGCACTCCAGCTCCTTGAGAGTCGACTGCAGCTCTAGTTCGGCGCGCTGGGCCTGTCGCCGGTAGTCGCCCAGCTCGTTGTTGATGCAGAGCTGAACATCACGGGCGTCTTGCTCCTGCTGCGACTTCTCATTCTTCAGCTTATTGACGGTCTCATCGTACTTCAGCTTCAACCCTGCCAACTCTGCCTTGGCACGCCGCGCCTCCTCTTTGTAGCTGTTTTCTAGCCCGCGCCTATTTTCCATATCCTTCGTCAGATCCAGAAGCTTCTGGCTGGTGAAGTCGCACTGAGTTTTCAGGGCGGATACCTTGCTTTCGGCCAGCGACAGCTCCATGCGACGCTTCGTTTCGTTCTGCTTCAGCTGGTCCTGCACCTGGCTGAGACGCGCCTTTGTCTCGATGAGCTCCGCGCGCAATTTGTTCATCTTCCAGGTCCCATTCGAGTCGGACGCCGAGTTGTTGGTGGAGTCGGTGGTGCTATTGAGGCTGCAGTTCGGCGACTCCTGCTCCACGCGTCGCTTTTTTGGCACTAGGAAAGATTATATTATTTTTAGTAGCTTCTAATTTTTCTGCAGTACCGGCACTTACATGACGCGGAATCGTCGCTCAGCGAAATCGAAAGACGGTTGAACAGTAGCTTCTTGGGCGCCGAGTGGGTGATGCTGTCGTTGAAATGGTCCACCATATTGTCCAGGCTGCTGCGTATGTCGTCCATGGCGACTTCAATTTTCACAATTTTAATTTTTTTAAACAAATGAAATAATTTTATTGTTTACAGTTGCTTCCGACCGGTTATCGAAAATCTTATCGATAAAATATATCGTCCGACCCTCAGAAATATGATGCCTATGATGATGTATAGGCCTTTGTACACCCTATTTTGTTAATTTTATATGAAAGTATATATATTGATACGAAGATAAAACGTAACTAATAAAGACCGTTTCTCAAATTGACATTTCTTAGACATATTCATGTATATGATGAGTGTTTTGTATATATATCTCGATCGTGATACCTATTCTTGGTCTCTGCAAGAAGACAATAAGCTTTAAAATATCGTTGAAATATTGAAAATAATGATTAATATTAAAATATATAGAAAATAAATTGTTTTTGCCTGGGATAACAAACATTTTCACAATTCTATAACATCCATTTCCCCCAGGGTATGTGTGCATGGAATGGGACTCATTGTTCTGAACCGGTTATGACGGCTAATTCTTGGTTAATCTTTCTTCCGTTGAATATTCTCAGCTATATAGATCTCTTATTTTTGCCCAGATATTTTTATATGATTGCTGAAACAATTTTGATCAAGATTAACTATTTTTAAGTACTTGCATGTTTTTTGTTTTGACAAAAACACGATTTCAACAAAAATGTTCAATAGTCGCAGGTTGTGATGTCAATGTTGCTGGTATGTGCAGACTCATTTGTTGTCAACCAGGGTATGGATGTTTGTATACCCTATTTCGTGAATATTATATAAAGATACTGTTTTCCAAGCTGCTTTCAAATGTAATTAATAAAGGCTTTGTTTTAGATTGCATTTTTTTGGTCTATTCATGCATTCGATTAGGTTCTTGTATATAAATCCTGATCCCCATACCAATTCTTGGTCTCTGTAAGTAGACCACTAATTGCAAAATATCGTTTATACTGACTAGTTTCTGCATTAATTAGAGCATGGGATGAAACACATTTCCGCAATTCTATATCATCCATTTTCCCCAGGGTATGTGTGCATGGAATTAGCAACATGTTTGTGTATGGAATGGGACTCATTGTTGCTAAAGCGAACTGCGGCGACCTGCGGCGAACTGCGGCGAACTGCGGCGAACTGCGGCGAACTGCGGCGAACTGCGGCGAACTGCGGCGAATTCAAATTCGATTCAAAAAAACGACCAATTCCTTATATTCTTTGTTCCGTTGAATAATACTATCTATATGGAACATTTAGCCATGCCCACTCAATTTTGTACGATTGATGAATCAATTCTATACATGATTGGCCTATTCGAAATACTTGCTTTTATTGGATTTCTATGTAACATTGAAAATTAAATTAATAGATTGATGAAATTGAAAATCTGCTCCACAAATCGAATTGAGATGGCAGTGCTTCGATAATTGACGCAGCTGATTGATATCGATACTGTTATTGATTATAATATTGATATCGATATGAAGTGTAGTGTGACCATGCGGTCATGGACATACATGCCCAAAAGTATGCTTCAAAAGTATGCCCAAAAGTATGCCCGCTGCGAATGGCAAATATAGTTCTAGTGCTGCCGAAAATAGGAATTGATTTGCATTTCTGCTCGGCTTGAAATGTTTAAATGCGACTGTTTTTAAATTTAAAGGAATATATAAAGACTTCCATTAGTGATAGTTATTAAAATAGAGTTAACTTTACAAAATTCGCACTGCCAATAGCGAAAGCGTATGTGTGTGGAGCCTCTCAGCAAGTAAAGGCGTGTGTACCATCGTCTCCCTTGACCAATACAAAAACTCGGTGCAAAGGGAATGTAGGAGTGTGATCCTTCAACAGCCTGTAGTGGTTGGTAAAGTTATTAACTATATATGTATCTAACGCAGGAGTTTCAAAACGCGTGTGCTGTGGTCTTATTTCCCAAAAACGCAATCGGAAAAGTACGTGAAAAAGCGAAAATGTGTCTCCGCAAGCGATAACGGTACTTTAATGCGCTCTCTCTTGGCAAAAGATGAGCCGACAGCCGCACCTATAAAAGTGGGCGTTAGGTGTGCGTTCGCAGATAAAAAACAATTTGCTTGTTTGAAAGTGTGCAGCCTCCTTTGATTGTTTAAACAAATTCTAGGATAAATAAAAATAAATACTGTTCAAATACCAATACACACCTATATATACAGGCACGCACTCTCACACACAAGCACACTAACGCATGACATAAAGACAGAGAGAGAAAAAAGAAAGAAAGGAACAAGAAGCTCCAACCAAGCAGCATCGGCGCGTTGGAGAGATATGCGGGCAGAGAAGATTGAAAATAAACGTGTAGTAGAGAATTTTTGAGACACACACACACACGCAAACACACCGCCCACCCACACACGTTCTCTCATTCCTCTCACTCACTCTCTCTCTCTGTCATTTGCTCCATCCTTCTCTCTCGCTACTATCCCGTTTGCCGCCCACTTACAAACCTACACAACCACCCACTCACACACATACTCTTGTACATATATATGTATGCGCGAAGAGTGTAAGCTTTGTTGTTTCTGCTGCTGCTACTGCTGCTCTTGTTAGCCGCCGCCACGGTGGAGGCTGGCCTGGCTGCTTCTGCTGAAGCGCAAATGGCAGACCCTCTGAGCGGGCGCTGCTTGTGAGAATGTCGTAATGGCCAGAGAGGTAAGTGCGAAACGCTGCCTGCCCGTCGCCCCATGCACCGGCAGACGGTTAATCATTAATTGCTCCAAAATGGTCCTGCATCTTGCAGCGCCATCTATTCAATCAGCTGCTCCCATTACACACATACATTCTGCACACATCTTTATCTTTTATCTTTCATCTCTTTTAACCTCCTTTCAGCAAGCATGTTGCTTGAGAGCGCTATCATAGGTCCCAAAGTTGCTGGTTACACTGTACACTTTTCACCGACGCTTTTTTTTACTGTCGTGGGCTTTTAATTTCACCAAAGAAAATATTTAAGCGTAGGTGGATGAGGTTTTATGTTTTGGTATAAAGCCACTGCCTGGATTAGATGGATTCTTTGGGAAAAAAAACTTAACTAAACTATTAAACTTGCATCTTTCAATGCAGGGCTTAAGATTTAAATATGTTGTCTCATTTATAAATTTAATAAATTCGAATAGCAGCGGATGGTCCGCAACAGCTTGAATCCGTTTTAGGCCTTCATTAGTCCTTCTCCCAGTGTGCGTGTCCCCCCCACTGCAAGGGTATTGCTTGTTTGTGTGTGTGCATGTTTTATGCAGTTTCTTCATTTCGTTTTGGTTTGCGGGTGAATAGCTTTGACCCAAATAACTGGGGTAATACTTACGCCCCACACAGATGTGCCCCCACCTCCCCTAAGACTTTGTCCCATGTAACTGTAAGGTGGATTGTTGTTTTTGTAGCTCCTCTCAAAGGACAGGAATTTTGTGAATTTTTTGTTACCAAACATTGTCAAAAATTCTTACACATTCCTGGAGCTTCTCTGGCAGCGCATAGACTCTGTTACATATTTAACAGCAATTGGGCGTACATGTTAATTAAACCTCTCTCTTTCTCTCTCTATCTCTCTCCCTCTTTCCTTGGCTTACTTTAATTAAATGCAGCCGAATACGTTACATTTGTGCCAATGTTAACAGTGTTCTGTGACAGACAACAGGGGAATGTTAGTATAAAACGCAGAGAGCTACTCTCTCACTCTCGCTCTCTGCCCGTCCTCTGCCCCCTCAATAGACTCATTTCAGGACTGCCTTATACTGTTTTCAATCAAAAAGTGCAATGAAATTCTCTATTTTTCTTGAACAAACATTTGACAGACACCAACAGATCGATTCTGATTTAAGGCAAAATAAATATGTACACGTTCGTTAACAGAGATGTGTCGAACAAATCAGATGAAATCGAAAGCCAGATTCAGATTGAGGTTTCTCTGATGGCGATCCCAGATGGGGAAGGAATACTTGTGGAGCGTTCGTGTGGGGTGCGCGCGCGTTTTGTTAGCTTTAGCGCGCCCCGATTATATCACATTGATGCAAATGTAGGCCAAAGCACAGCCAAATGTTAACTGTGGAACAACACTGCCTGAAGCAGGAGAGTGGCCCGACCGTGGAGCATGGAGAGCCCTGCAGGCTGAGCAAAGTTTCAATAGAGAAGTAAAAATGCATTAAATGTTCTCGCAAATAAACGGTACAAGTTAATGTTTGTTTGAGCCAAGCAAACGGCTCTCCTCAAGCTCTCCATGCCTTAGCCTGCAGTCCAATTCGCTTTCACTCTCGCTTGGCTCTCTGCTTCTCTTTGGCACGCTCTTTGTCTGTCTGAAGGAAGCTTTGGGGCTGCATTTCACGCGCTCTCGTTCGTGCCGCTGCATGTGTCCCAGCCCCAACGGAAGCAGCAGCAGAAGAATTTCCCAGTTTGCTCTGCCAGGCAGCGTGCCATCGTCAGCAAGGATGCTACCTTCTTTTACCAGCTGCGTGATTCCGCTGCCTCTTCGTTAAAATCTATTTAAACCCTAAAGTGGGCGTGACAGCTGCAACGGAGCAAGGGTGTTTTTGTACCATAATTAGTAATAATAATCAAAAGTGAACAAAAACGTGGAGAAATTCATTGAAAATCAAAACTGAAATCCAAGGCGAGGCGAATGCACCACCAAATGAAAACGTCGACGGTTTCACGATTCGAGGCGGAGGCAAAGGCAGAGCGCCAGGCGCGTAGTAAAGTGAAAGTGCGAAGGTCAACCCGTGTATAGCTGGTGCTGGCGCTGGCTTTCCGCCCTGACCTGCCTCAAAACACGAGGCGACGCGCCCCAAAAGCGAAGCGAGAGAACAGTAGACCCTCCTCCGCTCCTTCGCCAGGCAGAGGCCCTTAAACAAAAAAAAAAAACAGTTAATTAAATCAAATACATTTTTACAACCAGAAAAAAAAAAATCAAATTAAAACCATTTTGGGAGTGCAGTTTTTTCTACGTGCGTGCGTGTCTGCGTGTCTCCGTGTGTGTTTTCCTTAAATTTGTATGCCAGGCAATAACAGAAACTTTAACGTTAGGTTTAACTTTAACTTGAACGAATTTTCCCCCAAAGTAAAGCAAACACATAAGCATTTAGCCAGCATTAACCGTACAACAATAAGGCAATAGGCAATAAGCTTTAATTTTATAAACTTTTCATCAAGTTTTCCAACGGTTTTTGAACAGTGTACGTACGCGAAACTGCACCAATGACAATTTTATATAACGGTTTTTAAACAGAATCGAAAAGAGGAGCGAACCGAACCGAATAGGGAAAGAGAAAAGAAGCGAAGAGAATAGAGAGACAAGAGAAGCGAGAGAAGCGAGAGACATTGGAAGCGTATGCAAAGCAAATTAGATTCGTTCTGAAAGCAAATGAGAAGCGAATCGAGTTACAGATTTTAAAGTGCATCGTAATTGAGTTGTTTAGCGATAGAGTGAACACAATCAGCAGCATGCTTATGCTCACATCAAAGGCAGTGTCCCATGTGCAGTGTTAGCCTTGAATCAAAATCGCATTAGACATACATAGCACATAGAGGGAAAGCCAAAGCACAGCCAAGAAGTCCAAGAAGTCCAAGAGTCCGGGCATAAACGTGGCTGGGAAGGGGGATACTAGTGTCTGCAGCAGCGCCGCCATGTGGTCGAACGCCCTGTGCACGCTGGGCGTGACGAAGCCGCTCTGCAACTGCCTCAGCATCAGACAAGTGGCAGCCGCAGCTGCGGCGGCTGCCCAGGTCACACAGGGGGGCGTGGCGGCTGCGGCTGGCGTAGGCGTGGGTGGTGCGGCCATCACAACGGGACCCACATCGATGTCCGGCGGCGGCGTGTCCTCTGGGGTAACAATGTTCGATTCCATCTCACTCTCCCTACCACTATTACTCATCCATTCATTCATCGATTGCCGTGGATTCATTGAAATTCCAATTTCACACGCACACGGTTCCCCGATTCGCCGATTCGGATAAGATTAAACGAAAAAAGCCAAAAATAAAATCAAGAATACAGGAACCCCCACTGTCTGTGGCCCCCATTCACATTCCAATTAGTTGAGGGGCACGTGTATTCCCCATTTCTTCTGGCGTTGTTTATTCATTTATTAATTTGAAATTTTATAATGCCTGCCCCTGCCCCTGGCCCTGCCTCCACTCACTCCCTCCCTCTCTGCAATACGTGCGGCCATATGGCATTGGGCGCAGCACTGACCTATCCCACAGGACGGGGGCGAAAGTACCATTGAAAAAGAGAGCACGGAAAGAAATGAAATATTTTATGAAAACTTTCCGCTGTTTTGTTTTATTTTGGTTTTTTTTTTTTTTCTTCTGTTTTGTATTTTTGGCGTCGAGCAGAAAATGTCAGAATGAATTTTTTGTAATTTTTCAAACATTTTATTTTTGCCACAGATGGATGATGGGTGGTGCTGGGTGAAAGCGAGAGAGGGAATGAGACAGAGAGAGAGAGAGAGAGAGAGAGAGAGAGAGAGAGCTTCTTCTTTTTATATTATTTAGCTCGTGTGCTGCACTCGTTACTGGGTCACTGGAGCGCCACACTCATGTCCTTGCAATACATTAAACATTGGAGCTGCCTCTTTTTCGCCTCGCTCTCCCTATCACTCTCCCCATCCTCCATTTTCCCGCCCCTTTTTCGCCTCCTTCGCTGCTGCTGCTGCTGTTATTGCATTTGCATTGCTGCTGCTGCTGCTGCTGCTGCATCTTGTTATTCTCCATCGCTTCCTCCATTCTGTTGCTGTTACTGTTATTCGATTAACAGCCCCAGCTGTGTCCCGCTGTTTGCCGTAGCGTTGCCCTCCACCCTACACGCCCTCTTCTTTTGTTGCTCCTTTTTGTGAGGATTTTAATTGGGATTTTTTACTGCATTTTCTGTTGTTTTTTTGTTGTTGGAAAAACTAGATCTGGCAGATCCCTTCAATCAATTCCATGCAAAAAAAAAAAAACTGCACGGCCAGACCTCCTGCGGCGCCATGCTGCTGGGGTGGCCTTGACATTTGCGCCCTTTTAACGAGCACAAACCACAATTAGTGGGCGGAAGATGTTATGACGCTGCCTGGGGGATGGATCTGCTCTGATATGCCACACCCACTTGTGAATTGGCTGCGCAGCGTGGCACAGGTGTCACGCCCCAGATGGAACTCCCATATCCCATATTCCGACTGCACACACATGCTTCCACCCACATATGCGCCCTTCCACACACATATCTTCCACATCTTCCACTGTTCATCGCGTAAGCCGCCTGCGTCGACTAAGCTAATCTGGGCTCTGCTTTTCCTTTGCTCTTTCGCAGGAGTCTCGCGGCAAGAGACCACTGAAAATCTGGGACAGTTGGCGGAATGTGCGTAAAGGCGTTGTAGTTGGAACATTCGAGGAGCTCTTGGTGCGCGGCAAGGACAAGTTGGGGGTTCCTGCTTCAGAACCAGTGCGCGTTGTTCTGGAGTGCGATGGAACCCAAATCGAGGATGGCGAATACTTTCGCACCCTGGCCAACAATACGGTCTTGTTGCTGTTGAGGCAGGGCGAACGCTGGTATCCAACTGGAGTGGATGTCATAAAGGCTGGTGAGTGAGACCCTTTATTGCCCCTTATCTCTGGTGAAAACCAAACTAATCTCATCTGTTGCAGCCATATCAGCTATACCGAAAATCGTCTGTGAGACGATCCATGCACTGGAACTGCATGATGAGACACCGTCGTGGAAGATTATGGATAACAAAGGGCGTGTCACGGTCGTCTTGCACTGGGATCAGCGGCAGGGAGGGGGCAGTGGTGGAGGCGGCGGTGGGGGCGGCGTTGGCGGCGGCAACATATGCTCCGGCCTGGGGAGCAGCAACGGGCTGCTTTCCTCCGACAAGTACTCGCCCTCGAAGAAGGGCCTCTCCGCACAGAGTTCGCTGGACAACAAGTCGGTGTCGTCGCAGTCCTCGCAGCCGCGCTACGCCAGCCCCCAAATAACGGTGATCAGCGACGAGGGTCCGGCGAGTATATACCATCCCGGCGGAGTGGTCCTGCCGCCAGGAGTTGTGATACCCGGCGGCAGCAGGCGCCTGTCCAAGCAAGGCAGCTCCTTCGACAGCACCGTGGGTGTGGGGGCCGTGCACGTTCACACGCCGGAGTGCGCCCACCACGCCCATACGCCAAGCAGGGCCGGCAGCCCCAGCACCACGGAATGCGACTTCCACTGCTGCGCTCTGCACGAGGAGGGGCGGAAGATAGCCGTGCACAAGAGCGTGGCCACGTCGCCCATCCAGGACGGGAGCAGCAGTCCCCAGCCGGCAGCGACGCTGGCCATGTCATCATCGGTTATGGATCCTATGCTGGGCGGCAGCGGCAGTATGCGGCGCTCCTCGGGCACCAAGGGTCACGTGCGTTTCCTGGACATTGCCCCAGAGCGGGACAGCTCCGAGAGCGAGACGGAGAACACGGTGATGGAGGACGACAAGACGACGACCGAGAAATTTCTGCTGCTAATCGATCAGTTATCGGTGGACCAGAAGCGCCATCTCAGCATCAAGGATATCGGCATCATCCTGGAGCGCCTCAACTCTAAGATACTCGATGTGGAGCGTCTGGATCGCGAGTCCGAGTCGGATGACTGTTACAACTGGACGATAAAGGCAACAATACGCGGCGATGCGCTCCGCGAACTGGGCGTCATCTACAATGGCAACTACTACGCCATTTCTGAGCATCCCGGCTACAAGGAGGAGCTGGAGGAGAACGGCGAGGAAGTCGAGGAGGAGGAGGAAGAGGACGAGGAGGATAGAATTTAAACGCAACCAGATACGGGCAAACGCAAACGCAAACCCATTCATAGCCACTAAAGAATAAACACATTTGCAGATAGATAATGCTCAGAGAGGTATCAATAAACTAGCGCATTTTACAAATGAAAAACGAAAATAATTGGAAAACGGGAGGCTACATCTCACACAGACAGACAGACACACACACACAAATGCATACAGACATATACATATATATATGTATAACTTAATATGAGAATATGAGAATATAATAATGCAAGTCGCACATTGTACGATAGTGAAGTAAGCATAACAAAAGTCAGTTCAGTCCCAAAAATCCACACACGAAACCAGAGAAAGACAAAGACAACACCCCCCATGTAAACGCAGTTTTTGTAGCACTTAGCGAGAGAATTCCTCAAGACGGGAAAAGCGATATTGAAGCGACTATTCCAACCAAACAAGAGCACTTGCATACCTACCATCATAGTAACTTCCCCAGAGTCCCAAAATTCTCACCCACTTTGTTGTTATTGTTGTTGTATAAAAGTCATGTCATGTTCCGTGTACCGTATGCCAAACGAGCCTTATTTAGTTGGATAGCCCATATACATGCATATAGCCGACTCCGACTCCGACTACGAGCGTCACTTGCATAAGTCGAAATCTAATCTAAATCACGTGAACTCTAAGTTGCCAAAGAGAAGATAACAGAGACTATAAATTGTTGTTGAGAAGAAAAGCGAAAAACAAAAAACGAAAAACCAAAGAACGAAGAAGAAAACTGTAACTGTAAACTGAATTCAAAATCTTCTAAATGTAAATCAGAATTGTTTGTACTCGTATTCCGTATTCCTATGTAGGAAGATCCTCAGTTCCTTCAATACTATCATATATGCATACATATATTGTTATTTTCCCATAATCCCCCATTCAGAATCCTCATGCGAAACTGCCGTTACTTGTAGTGTTGTAAAACGTTCAACGTTCAAGTGAAATTTAAACGTGAAAAGCGTAAAAACAAGGGGAAACCATAAGAAAATGCCTGATATCGAAGTATTACATATTGTAGCCTATTGTCACACATTGAGTTGAGCACACACACACACACACACACACACAGCCCAACCAACACAACCCAACCCGTAGCCGATTCATGTACGTCCCATGTTCCTAGGCGGAAATATCAGAGAAGGGAGCAAATCGAAATTAGAATTATAGATGTGTGTGCATCAAGGAAAAAAACACTGCCAAACCCGACATCTCACTGTAGTAGATCATCATAGCCAGATCATGTCCATTTCCGTTCCCCGTTGAGTCTAGGCTTCCCGATCCACTGTGATCGTTCGGGTGTCACGAGCAGCAACGGAAGTGGCCCCTCAGCATACAAATACATACAACCATACATACGAGTATAGGCAGAGTTAGGTAAGACGAAAAAAGCGTATCGATGTCATTGGTTAAGCTATAGAATTGTTATTGCAAATGCGAATGCAAATCGAAGTTGTACAGACGGTTTTCGGCTGCGATCGAGTCGAAACGAAGCACCAACCAACCAAAGCAATCGTTATGCCGCGTGACGATCGTAGCAATCGTGTTTCTTCTCTTCCCTAGCAGTCGTAGCTGGTCTACGCTGCTCGCAACGATCTCGCTCGGTACCAATGGGCCTTTACGCACACTCCACAGTTTCCAAACTTTCCGTTGTCTGATCGAAGTCTGTTCCGAATGATCCGAACAGCGTGGTCGTGCGCTTTGAGAAGCATAAAGAACCAAAAGAAAGCAAACAATGGACAAATAACGCAATCTCTTCCACAGTTAAGATCAATCACACATCTGTCTTCTGCCAAAAAATAAATAAACAAAAATATAAAACAAAGAACAATGAACAATGAAAAACTAAGGTAATAACGAAATGAAATAAAATGAAATGATTCTTTAACATGCATTTGTCCAAGGCACAAACTAGGCATTAAACCGAAAAATATATACATAGATAAAAGCGAGGCCCTAGTATGTATAAATGAAAAATTGATAATTGATAACGATAATAAGTGGAAAGTTGAAGTCGAGCGAGGAGGAAGCCGAAAGCAGGAAAGCAGAAAATCACCAAAGCAGGATGGCGGTTGTGTGCAGCTCCGGAACGAAAGCGACAAAACGAGAACTCACAATTAGCAAACGGAAAACAAATTCATTAGCGTTGTTTTAATTTATTAGTAAGTCGAGAACGAATGCGCCCGTAATGTGCAACCCAAACACGATCATGATCATGAGATGAATACACAAATATACTATATATACTATATGTATATATATACTGTATACTGTATACTGTATGATTAAGCCGCAGAGTACAGAGGGAGTGGAGTGAAGTGGAGTGGAGTGCAGGGGCAGTGGCAGTGGCAGTGGAGTCCGATCGAGTGAGGTGGAAATCGAGTGCCGACGAGCATTTGTGCGTATATATAGAATCGACCCATACCTATACGGCATATACATATACATATGCATGTGTAAATGCCCCAAGCAGCATTGCATAATAAGAATGAATAAAACGAGAGATTCCGCAGCACATCGTATATGCACCACCAGCATACGGGTATACATGTGTGTATGATAACTCAGCTTCCATACTGATACAGACTTCTTCAACTGACTTCCATAATCATAATCATTGTTAACAATTAACTATAGAGGATAACGCTTTAAGAGACAAACCCACACCACACCACAGCACACGAATCTTGTTTCCCCATCAATCGTTGCGTTTTGGTTCAGTTAAGATTAGGTTCTGTTGTTGATCCCCAAAGGTCGTCCCGGAAGAGCGGTCTCGACCCTCAGACTCTCAGACTCGTCACACACTCTGTGTAAATGCAATCAGTTAGATTTATAAGATGAATAAACGAATGGAAAACCAAACAAAACAAAAAATGTGCTGCAAAGTAAGCGAAACGAACGAAAGAACCTCCTCCCCGCCAAATGCAATCAACTGTTTTGCAAGTACTCGGTAATGTAATATCCATACCAGAAGGCAGGGCAGGCGGCAGGAGGATAAGCCTTAGAGGAATGTCAAGTCATTGTTGCAGGCAGCCGAGAATGATGCCACATTATGCGTTAAATTGTTTTAATAGTGCGAATATTACGAATAAATTGATCAATTAGCATATACAACAAAACATAAAACAAAACGAAACAAAACAAAACAAAGAAGAAAACCAAACGACAAAACATATTGCAAATTGTTTTTATTCATTTTGTTAAACGATAAACAAAGGCATTAAAATAAAACTAAACTAAAGAAAAGAAAAGAAGAGAAGATCGAAACGAAGCGAGATTAACAACAAATATAACAGATTAACATTTATAAAAACAAATATATATAAATCGATATACACACACACACACACACACAGACACAGAAACACATGCAACATTGAGAAAGAAAAAAAATCATGAATTCAATTAAAGCAAAGTTTAAAGATCAAGGGCTCAAGTTTTGGGAGGAATCGAATCGAATCGAATTGAATAGGGAGGAGACGACTAATTTTCAGTTCAGGGCGAGGAGAAAGGCGAGAAGCGAAAAGGAATAGCGAGGAATGAGCGAGGGGATCGAGGCAATCGAGATAGGAGCTATTATTAAAACATTACGTTATATACATAATAATAATTATAATAAAAAGCATGGATAAACATTAAAAACATGTGACTAAGAAAACCACAAACACACACACACACACATCCAAAAAACGAAAAAAACAACTACAAAACAAACGAAAGCGAAACAAAAATTAAACACAAGTAAAAGTTCATATAACATTGAGAATCAACTAAAATTAAACAACATTTCACGATGAGTAAAAACGTAAAATAAAAGTAATACAAAACAAAAACGAAAACGAAAACAAAAACAAAACAAATAACAATAAAATTCGATTACAAAAACAAAAAAACAACAACAAAAACAAGAAACATGAACAAGAAAATTACAACAACAAAAGGTTATTTATGATGCGATTTAAACAATAAAAACGAAAAATAAATAAAACGAGAAAAAAAAATACAAATTTAAACAGAATTTGAAATTGTCTTATAGATTAACCGGAACTGGTTGATAAACATCCCATCGCCATCCACCCAACTCACGGCTGATCGGCATATACAATACACACTATACAACGAGTATATGCATGTTGTGTACGTTTTTCGTGGGAGGGGAACCACACACGAATCGCACTGTTTATTAAACATCAGCGAGAACTAAAGGTTGTCTATATTCAACAGTAAATTAATGAGGCAAACATTGAGCAGTTTATTGCCTGCTCGGGGCACAGGCACGCTCAACTCTCGGGGATCTTTGCTCATACTCGCGATACGGCTTACAGTGCGTTTCATAGGCGCATATTGTGAAGGTCGGGTCGGGCCACTTCAGTGATAAACGATTAGTAATTAAGTAATATTTCAACTATGACTTCGGGGAAACTTTCAATCACACAGTAGCTATGAAACGTACTGTTTTTTCTAGGAGGCACACGCACGCATTCAGGGCAATCAGCTACAATCAGTAACGTAACAGTAACAGTTAAAGCTAAGGCCCTAATCATCACACAAAACAAAAAGTCAGCTGAAGAATTTGCTCAGGCAATTCAGAAACCGACAAAGAAGGGCATAAAGAAACAGCTCAGACAATATACTATATATAGTAGACATATTCGTACAGTTGTATAGTTTATATGTGGTTGTTACTCATCTTAGATAAGGCACTCATCGCCTAGAGGGGGGGTCTGTGCGAGTTGCGAGAACAGCAACGCAACGCAATGGACCGAACAACTGACGGTTGTGGGGCACATATTGTGGTTCTGTTTATGGGGGTTAGTGTCGTCCAGTTAATTGAATTAAGTAAGTCACTTATCGAACGCGTGACTAACAGTTAATTGTTTGCTTCGATTAGCAATGTGTTTCGCTGTGCTGTGCACATTTAACCTCACTGACAATTGTCTGTTCATCGGATCATTCATCATATCTAGTATACATACTTTATCTAGGGTTCTGTCTGTCTGTGGCACATTTTTGTTTGTATGTATGTATACGGTATTGTCTTTATTCGTTGTTGTCTTATATAAGTTAACAAGTGCGTCTAAGTATATTAAGTTAGTTGGCTTTGATTAGGATTACACTAGAGATTATCACTAAAACATGGAGGGTGACGACGTTGACTGGGCTGGATTGGATTTTGGACCCCCGGACTGGGCGCAAGAATAGGGAATTTCTGAATTAAATGAGCTGCTCTGCTGATCCCAGCCGCTTGGAGCTCACCCCGGGGTCTGCAGCTTGCTGCTGCTGCGCGAGAACAGCACCTTCTTCAGTATACTGGGCTGCCACTTGATGGAGCTCTTCTTGCTCTCCGACGTCGTGGAGATGTTTGAGCTGCTGGCGCTGAGCGTGCGCTCGCGCTCCGTGACATTGATGGTGCTAATTGAGTGCGCATGCCGCAACGGTTTGCCGGTAGTGCCGTTCAGGTTACGCGGCGTCTTGCCAAAACTAATCTTTATTTTGCCAAACAACTTGTCCTTCCGCTTCGGCTTTGGCTCCGGCAGCGGGGCACTGGTGTCGCCTGTCATCGACACAATTGTGGCGTCCTCCTCAATGGCCTTGTAGCTGTAGTTGGGCAAATCGGTGACGTCTTTGTCGTTGATCTGTATCCGTATGTTGGGCGTGGTCACCCGCTGAGGCGGCACCTCCTCCGTCGGCGAGGGTCTGTGCGGTGCATGTAGTGTACTTTGGTTTACTGAGAACAAGCCGGGAACGGAATATGAACTTACGTTTTCAACTGCCGCGTCGAGTATATGGAGAAGGCGTCCAGGTCGTGCAGCGACCGGGCCAGCTTGTCCCAAAAATTATATAGCTTGGAGTCGCCGGCGTACTTGATGTGAGTGTATATGCCCAGCGTCTGCGGTATGTGCATGTCGGGCTTGTACAGAATGGGGATGATCTTGCGCGTGTGATTCTCTACAGGGGAACGAGGGGGACCTGTAATTGGGACTTCTCTCATCTGGCATGCACATGGCACGGCACTCACCGATCTGTATCTTTTGGGTGAAGTTGACGAGGTACGTGTTCTCTGGACTCCGGAGAAACTCCTCCGTGAGCACAACGATCAAGTGATTACAGCGGGTGGCCATGAAGTGGGACAGCTGCACGTGCTCGAAGGGCACTCCCATTAGCATGTCGCGGTGCCGCAGGAAGAGCTGAAAGCGGACTTCCCTCCGGTTAGATGGAGGTCACACACACAGACAATGGGAGTGATCGGGACTCACCTTGAGATTGTATCGCTCGGACTCCAGGTGGTTCATGATCTCCGTGGCGTGGTCGATGTCCGCCTCCGCGTACAAGACGCAGGCGTTGTATCTGGGCAGGGGCTGGCCCATCTGCACGCATCTCTGGTCATCGTCGCTCAGGATCTGGACGCTCTGACCCACTGTGATGTTGTTAGTGTTGGTATTGTTGGTGCTGCTCTTGTTGTTGTTGGTCTCTATGACAGTAGGCGGGCGGTGGGCTTCCACCAGAGCCTGCTGCTGCTCCTGCCTCACATTGTAGCGCCTGGTGTCCTTGGCTGCACGGATCAGAGGGGGGATCATTTAAGATTAGCTAGTGACGGACATGGGGACGTAGATTGCGGCCGGCACCTACTTAGATTCTCCTGGATGTCGTCGCACACATCCCAGCGATCGATGATGCCCAGGAAGTGCTCCAGGTGACCGACCTTGGCCGTTTCTGGATTCCGCTGACTCCAGCTGCTAAGCACCAGATCCATTGGATTGTTTGCATATTCCTCGACGAAGCCGCGCTGGTGGGCCAGGGCGGCGATGCCCCGCCAGTCCCGCTCGTAACCCTCCTCCGAGTGGAGTACCTTTTTGCGGTTGAGCATGCGGGCCAGTTGATTGCGCGTATCCGCACTTAGCTCCGATAGTGGGGTTTGATTAAAGCCCCCCGAGCCCGGCTCCTCCGGCACAACCATGTTCGGATAACGATAACGCTGCTGCCGATTCAGATTCCGATCCCAAGTCAAGCCACTGACGTCAGTGGCGCTGCTATGGGTATGATGGCTATGACTATGGGTATGGGAATGGGGGGTCGAGTGCTGCTGCTGCTGCTGCTGGCATACAAATCGAGGGCGCATTCGCACTTGCCGTTTATTTGATTGGAATAATTGGTGTTTGTGTGCCTCGGATATTTATCAACGATAGCAGCCGTTTATCAGTGGGGATGGGAATGGAGATGGGGATGGGGACCAACAATAAAGAGAAGCGCGTGAGTGGCTATTGTTTTTTCGCTTTTTGGTTCCTCTTCACTTCACTTTTCCACACTCTTTGCTCTTCCGCCTCGTGAGTGTGTGGTGTGGTGTGAGGTTTGAGATCGCGGCCCCACGTTGCGGACGCGGGCGGATGGAACTGGATGCGACCGGGCGTACGCGCGGGGGTGGGCGCTGCGGGGGGCCGATGACGAACAGAACGGCCGTGCGCGAAATGTGCCGAGAGTGACCTCCAGCACCTTGCCGCGTCACCGTCACCAGAGAGCAAGCGCCGACCGTGTTGTTTATCTGTCTGCTCAGCCTTTTCGAGCGTCTGCGTTTTCGTCTGCTGCCTGCGCAGATGATTTTGTTTAAATATTTTTATAAACCAGCAGCACTGACACTCACACTCACACGACCACTGCCACTAACACACATACACACACACACACGCCTAAAACACAAAAATAAATTTTAATAGCGTTTTTCGAGACTGTCTGCGACCTGCTCTGGATGGATTGTTGTTTTTCTCTGCTGCGACTCGTTCTGGTTCTGCTTTTCGAATTTGTTTCTGCTTTCTGCTGCGTTGTCGCTCGCGCTTCTGCTCTTCCTCTTCGCAGCACTGTTGTTTATTTTGGTCCGTTTGTACTGGGAAAAACTATATGCACAGCTGCTGCTGTTTATATTCCATTCCTGCCCGATTTCGCGCACTATATTTGCTCTCCCTAATTGCCAATTAATTCGATTGTTCACTTTGTTTCATTTTCTTTTCTGCGCAACAGGCGATCGCAGCCCCGGATAGATTATGTTTTACATTCTAACTACACATGTGCTACATATTAGCTACATATTGATGTATTTATAAGCAGCGACACCTGACGGGCGGAATGTTTACGTTTGTTGAAAAATACTGGAAAATACTACGAAATGTTAGAAAATACTCAAAATACAATAAAAAGTATAAGGTATGCAAGGTGTATGAGCTAGACATGGTGTCTAGGCTGGCAAGCAAATACCTTCCGTCCCTCGGAAATATTTCTCTCTTTTTCAAAATATACCGTTTCAGATATACCCGAATTGATTCTATTTAACGACGCATATTTTTTAAAATAATGTTGCTGTTGCTAACAGACGACATAACATTCGACATGCCAGTCAGTACAACAGACGACCTAACAGTTTATGGAATGAAGTTCCAATTTCTGCTGATGGATGGCGCTAATGACTATTTTACATTGTGTCGAATGTAAATGGGCTAAGCTCGGTTTTTCATCATACGACACGATTTTGGAGACCCAATATCCTCCCAAGAAGTGTTTGTTTCAACGATATTGCAAGCGTGAAGGACTTCTACCAGGCGGACGAGCTGAAGGCCACAAGTTGCAGCGCGGATTCACGCAGATCGGGCGACGAGATGCGCTGGCACATTGAGATGTGGAACACGTGGAACAGCGAGGATCAGCGCATGTCGCAGGCCGCAGCTACGAGCCACCCAAGCTGGACGATCGCCAGGACATATACAATGCCTCGGAGCGTCTTGACAAGAGCGTCACGATCCTGGAGTTCAAGAGCAGGAACTGACCTTCACAGACGACCTGCCTCTAACGCCTTCAACGTGGTCAACAAAAAGATCCGAAAGCACGAGCAGGTGCCGCCGGTCTCCTCGCGACGCGCGTGTATCAAGTCCTGTGGCAAAGGTGAGTGGCCCTCGCAGAACCCCTTCAAGGACATTTCTCCAATTATTAGCACCAGTACTCCTTCACCCAGCCGCCTGGTCTACGCCGCGGGCGTGAAGCTGATGAACCTGGGCGAGTCCTACTAGGCACCCAAGGCGAGGACCGTGGGAGTTGAACAACCTGACTGCCACCATCTTGGAATCCTTTAACGTCATCCTGGGTCTCCTTCCCGGATACTAAAAGACGGAGATTCTGGCCTTTGAAAAGTAAGTACACCAAATATTCTCCCAAGAAAGAAGTACACGCCCAGATAAATCTCTTCCATTTGTAAATTCAGTTTATTTTCATTTTTTTTTTGAATTCTTGTTGCGCATTTCAATACTTTTCCAGTTACAAATACATTCTGAGATATACTACACATGTGACACAATTGTGATTTCGGTTTTAGTTTTCGCTTTCGCTTTTGATTCAACATTTTCTGCTTGATGAATAAAACGTCGAATGCGTTCAAATGTATTTTATTTTTTTTTCTTCATTTTTTCGTTTATATTTATTTATGCATTGTATTTGCTTTACTTTTCATTTATTTTCACTTTTATGTTTATTTTGAGCAACAATTAACAGTTAAAGTTGATTCCTTTGCGTCAAGTTGGAAGTTTTATCAGTTTTTTTCGCGTATGTGTTGTGTTTCTTTTCGGTTTTTTTTTTGTTTATTTCAGTTGTTAATTAATTTAATGTTTATTTATGCGGTGTATTCATTTATTGTTTTTTTCCCCATCCGTTTCCGCTTTCCTATTTACATTTGAGTATGTGTGTGTTTGCGTGTGGGTGTGTGTGTGAGTGTGTGTTTTCTTTGTGTTCGTATTTTCATTGTAAATAATTGCTCAAAATGGATTTGGGCACCAAAGTCTCTCGTTCAAAGGCTAAAAAGTTTGATTTTGCGGGAAACAATTTTGATTGTTGTAATACTTAATATTCTGTTTGCGTTTGTTATGAGTATTTCCAGAATGTACGAGTACCAGTACGAGTACCCCTCACTGGATTCGCCTCGGCTGTAGTTAGTTTTATTTATTGTTGTATAATAATTCAGCTTACAATTTACACACTTACATAGCTCTACGCATAATTACAGACAATTTATTTTAGCTATTAACTGTTTGGTTTCCTTTCTGGCGACTCTTCGCTTCATGAATCCTGAATCATGGATCATGCATCATGCATCATGCGTTTGCTTTAGCACACGGTTTAAATTAGTTTTGCAAACCTAGTAAATACATACTCGTACAACCAGCTGCCATTTGCCATTTGCCATTTACCATTTTCCATTTCCCATTTCCCTGACTGAATCCCCCTAAATGCCATTACTAAGTATCGTACTTTTTCTCTTATGTGTCTGTGTGTGTGTGTTTGTGTGTTGTGTCTTGTCATTATTTGATGTCTGGTAAAATGTGAAATTGATTCCTTGATCAAAATGCAAATCTTATAAATCTGTTTATCTCTGTATCTGTGCTTGGGTCGGTGTGTCTGTGTGTGTGTGTGTGTTGTTTTTTGTGTCTATCGCACTGGTAATGCTCTCAACACCGGTTTAATGCGTTTTCAATGTTTATTTCTGAAATTGTATTTAGCTAATTTAAAGCTTTTCATTTCCTTAGCTGAACACCTCTCCCCCCTGAAACACCAATGTGTGTGTCCGTGTGTGTGTGTATCTACTCGTATATGCATATGTATGTGTATGTACATATGGTAAGCCCCGCGGACCGTCTGCGTTTTCTTCATCTGTTTAGATCCAATTAATTGACTGCCCGAAACAGATTCGGACACAAAACCTTTGGAAAATGTTTGCCGCCTGGCGCAACACTCAAAGGGAACTGGTAGACGGGGGGTAGGGGGGTGGTCTAGGGGGTCTTGCAAGCCGTCCAAAGCTGAAACCGATAGAAATTTGCTTCAAGCTAAATTTTTCGTCAAACCTGCAACTCAGTTAGCATAGGAAATATGAAAATATATAGTACCTACTACTATATACTCGTATGTACATATATTGTATGTATGTATGTATACCTGACAGGGGCAATGCGAATTGGAGAGTCTGCCCCTTGGGCCACAAATTAATTTCAACATTGAACACCTAAAAAAACATTTAACCTTTTAGCTTAGTTTCACTTAATGTAATGCCATTTAAAATTAATTCGACAACAAGCTCGTTTTGCACTTAAGTAACCGTTTCACATCGATCCGCTAATTTACTAACATTTATTTACTCGTCTGCTATTTAGTTAGCTATTTAGTTATTTAGTTATGCTATACAACAATAATTATTCTCCCCGATTCTTCGCTCCAAATGCGAATGAAACTATTGAATGTTCCGCTCCCTTGGGATTTTCCAGCTATGCATTGTATTAGAATTATTGTTATCATTATGCAAATTGTGTTTATTCGAAATGTATCTCTGGAATACTCGTACTGTATTTTTCCTTTGCCTTTGCATTTGCCTTTTCCTAGTTCCTCTTCCTGTTCTTCTTATAAATACAAAAACTTTTCGTTTCGTTTCGATTCGTGTCGTGTTCTTCTTTCTTTAACATTTACTTGGGAGTACTTGTTTCAGTTAACAACATAGTTTTAAATACACATAACTATAGGTTTATTGACCAGCTTTACTTTCCTATCGACGCCACCCGTTCGAGGAGGAAAAACCAAATGGGAAAACTTGAGCAAACAAAAAATTGAAACCATTTTGTTAATCCGAACTGAACAATCGAAACCTTGGCTCAATTTTCTTGTTAAGGGAAGTGGTGGCGTCGCTCCTCAACCTCATCGAGGGATCAAGCCCCAAGCACAACAATTACGATACAAACAAGACAGTCCTTTCCGGTGCGTTCTGGGAATACATCAAAAGAAAATCATCGGTAAAGCAAATCGAACAAACTAATCTTTCGTGGGCAAACCAGATCGGACTGTACCTGAACATTTACTATATTGTACATACAATGCCATTGCAGCAACTCTACTAACAACGTTTTTTGACTATTGACTCTTACTTAGCACTAGACTGGATCACTTTTGGTTTTACTTTAATGTGTAATGTTTAATGTTTAATCTTTAGTGTTTAGTGTTTAGTGTTTAATGTTTAACGTTTACTTTAGTTCAATTCGCGACTCCTCTGATCGTCTAACAATGGTGGGCATCTAACCGGATGCTGCTCTCTCCTCTCTCCTCTCACCTCTCATTTAGATACAAAACAAGTGATTTCTCCTTGGGGGGGTTTCTGCCTTCATTTTGTTTTTCTCGAGCACTTCGGAGTGCTGCTCCTCCATTCCTTTGATTTGTTTTTTTTTTTTGTTTTTGTTTTATTATTTTACCTTTGTGCGCATAACATTTGTGTGTAGGGGGGTGGGGGAAGATATCAGGGTATCTGGAGGAAGGAAGGAAAGAGTACTTCCCCTGTTTGACTGCCACAACTCTTGTTGCCGCTTCTGACACACAGCCATCTTGTTGTGGTATCTCATCCGGTGGCATCTGCCCCACTCGGCGGGTGTCACTTCCTTCCCTCCGCCTGCTTATTGTGGCCTGCTCCTGCTGCTGTTGCTCCTGCTCGGTTGTTATGGAACGTGCATCAACTGTTGCCGCTGCAGCATCAGCTCCGTTCGGTTCTTCATCATCCGCGTGCGCTCCATGTTCTCCCGAATGTTCCGCTCGTTCTCCTGACGGACTGTCGAAGGCGAGAGGAAGATAGAGTGGATAGTATCAGTGGAAGGGTAAATAATGGGCTCTGCATGCCACAAAAACAAAACTACTCAATTCTTAAGTCTAACTCTAATGGAACAAGCTACAGATGCGACATCTGTAGATACTAGTCGAAGATTCACTGCACGCTCGTTGTTATCCAGTTGCATATCGTTTAAACTGCAGTTGAAGTAAATGCCTGTTGATGAATTCTTGAATATAACTTTCATCAATCCAGACTATTTACTTTAAGCACAGTCCAACATTATTTCTGTGTGTGTTCGTGTTGCATTTCCCGGTGTTTCGGTTATGGATATGGTTACGGTTACGGCAGCCGTTTCCGTTTCCGTTTCCGTTCCCGTGTCCGTTTCCACTTTTTGTATTTCGTTTGTTTTTGGTTATCGCGCTCGGATATGACACGATATATGTACGTATTGTTCGAGCATGTGTCTTCCCCCCCCACCCCTGCCCTCGTTGTGGACACACTGTCACGTGCTCCTGCCCCTGCCTTGTGTTGGGCACCCCTCCCCCCTTCGGATTGTCGTCGCGGTTGTTGTTTGCTCAACGCTTTTGTGCATTTTACAGCAGTTTTAATTAACGCTGAACAAATTGGTAGATGGGAATTGGGAGATGGGAGATGGGCGATGGAAAACGGGAATGGGGATGAGTCCTGTACGAGTATTTCCTTGTTGGTGTTGTGTAAAGTGTCAAAATTTGTTTGCCAATCAATCACAAGCACACGGATACAAACGCACACAGATACACTCGTATCTGTACATTTACAGACAGGTCACAGTTGTTGCTTCAGTTCATCCAGGAGTTTGATAGCGTGCTCCCCACCCCACACCCTGGGGTGGGGGGCCTACAATATATAGTATACATTCGCAATTGTAATTTGATTGATTTGCTTAGTCTCGGCGGCCACTCCACTTCCCCTTTCCATGGAGTCCCTCCCCTCGCCTTGTAGAATTGCTAATTTTTTGCCTGCCTTCCACTGCACTTTGTTGCCGGCATTCTGCAAAATGAGCTCGCACCAGAAATTTAATTAAAAAATACTTGCCCTAAAAGGCCACCAAACCAGCCAACACAAACACAAGCGCAAACATACCCACACACACACACGCATACACACACAGAGGCAAGGACAGTGGAAACATTTGAGTAATTTCAACATTTACGCTTTCATTTAATTGCAAAAATTAGTAATAACATTTTAAGCTTCAGCAGCAGCAGCAACGGAAACAGCAACACCCTCAGTGGCAGCCACATGGTGAGTGGGGAGTGTGGAGTGGGGAGGGGGGAGCGGAAGGCGACTTTAAAGTGCTGCAACTGCAGTCTGGATGCAGCCGCATCACACATGGCTGCCGCTGTCGTCATCAAACTAATATGTGTAAGTGGAGCAAAGGCCGCACACTCATACATACGTACACATAGAGTACACATAGAGAGAGCGAGAGGGAGAGAGGGTGGGGGACGAGGACCATGGCTAAACTCTGTCCAGGCATGAATCCCCTGGTCCGTTCTCGGTCCCGTGCTTGTGCCTTTGCATAGGCTATGAGGCGTAATCGCAACGTGTTAATGCCCAGGAAGGCAGGTTGCAGGGGCTGTAGATGCAGGGGCATGGGTAGGGGTAGGGGTACGGTTAGGGGCAGAATGGGGGCCTGGTGGCCCAGGTGATGATGCCTGCCATTATTCACTTGGCCAAGTGCTGTTTGCGGCTGCTTTGTTGCTGCTGCTGTTGGGGCAAGTATGAGCTACTCAGCACAATGCCCTTGCCTCGTCTTTCTTTCGGCTTGGCTTCCCCACCGGCTGCAGAGGCATGACCAGAGACTAACTGGACATAATGTCCCCATTTTGTATTCATATTCATGATCATCATTAAAAAGGCGCTCCATGCTGTCGTTAGAATTAGATTAAAGCATCATTAACTGACGGATATCTTCAGCGTGGTCTTCAAACTCGAATCTGTAGGTATTACCCATAGAACTACCAACTATTTTTACAACCTATCGTTGAATGGTTATGTGTGATAAACGACTACGGCCCGCTTTTATCATATCTGCCATGTGGCTTCTTCTACAGAGTGACTCCTAGTCGAGCCACATTCTGCGTTCCTCTAAGGACATTTGCTCAGCCCTGTGCGTGTCCGTTTGGGGGCAGCACGGCCTACCCGGTCGCGTGTCGGTGCGCACGTGCTGGTGTGTAGGAGGCGGGAAGGGGGAGGCCGAAGGGGAAGCACTGTGAGAGACCAATTAACATATAACTTTCCCACAGGTAAACAAGTTAAATTGTTAACAGCCATTATGGGGCGCTCATAAATGCTGCCGACCAACTTTCTGCCACACCCTCCCCTGTCTCCTCGGTCGCCCTTTTCCTTCTATTCTTGGGGTTTGCCTCAGTCTCGCTCAATCATTCTGTGGCTCTTTGTCTTTCATGTTGTTTAATTATAAATGTGGTGTTGAAAGCAAAAGCTCTCTGCTCCAATGTCCTTACTCCCTCGCCCGTTGTGTTCCCCAGCCTAACTATCTCGACAGTTGCTTTTGTTGGCGCTGCTTCTTCTAGCCTGTTGCTGCCCCACAACTGCTGCCCCCCACCCCCACCCACTGCCTCTACACCTGGGCCTGGCGGATGAAGGGCGAGGACTAATTAGTTGCCTGGGACTGGGAATTGCTGCCTTCTACTATTGTGCCTTTAAATTGAATTTATTGATGCACTTTTCTGGCTTCCACTCTCCCCCATGGGCTTTCATTTGAACCATTTTACCCACTGGAGAAACATGGCATGGAAAATGCAAAGCCATGGAATGGAAATAATAGAACAGGTGGACTTTCAATTCGGAATGGAAAACAATCGTTTTTAATTGCTATTGCGGAGAAAGGAGAAAAGAGAAAAATGTATTATATCTTGCTCTTGAAAATTGTAATCTGCTTCAACGATTGATTAACTGAGAATAAATCGCAGTGGAAGGAGGAAAATCTGAGATGCAGAATGGCGACTAGATTACTCTTCAATGAGGCTACATAGAACTGGGACTCCCTCTCTCTTTTCTCCTCATATAAAGGTTGCACCATGACTTTTTTGTGGTGTGCCCACATGGAACTGTCAATATCTTGCCTGTTTTGGTATGTGCTGCAAATGCTTGTTGCCACTGGTCCGTCATGCGGCACTAGGGGGGTGGGTGGCAACAGGGGGCGGCAGCTGCCAGTTGGCAAGGCAAGGCCATTGAAGCCAACTGAGCGCGGGCACTGTCATTGGCATGGATGGTTTTCGCCTTTTGCTTTTCATAATAAACAATTGTTGTTAGTTTTTACTTTTTTTGTTGCACATTCTACACGCTCTCACTCTCACTCTCACTCTCCCATCCCCACTTCCACTCCTACTCCCAGTCCCAGTCCCAGTCCCAGTCCCACTTTCAGCCATTCACTCATGGAAAAGTAACCTAGTTTCCATGTCGTCAACGCAAAATTAAGGCTGTGTACGAGACGAGTTGGAATATTCCTCTGCACCGACGACCGACGACCGACACCAGTGTAAGCCAGTGTAATAATAAAAAAAGGAAACCAACTGTACCGTACCGTAATGATGCTGCAAACCCCCCCACACACACACACCCACACACAGATACACACGTGGGGTTGGCGGTACGCATACCACAAACAAAACTATTAAGCGAGAGCATAAAAAGTGAGCAGGATGACGAAGGGAAAGGTCCTCCTCCTCGGCAAGGCCTGTCTCTCGGCCACTCGCACACGCATTCACCCACTTACTCCCCCTCGGAGACGGTTTACCGTTGTTTGTGCCACACGGCAGACGCACACACGCACATACACGTGCTGATTAGTTTGGCTTTGTCTGCTGTTGCTGCTGCTGTTGCTGCTGCCGGGCTCCTTCTGCGGCTTCTGCTGCAGCCAGAGTCATTAAAGTCAAGGCAAAGTAAGTACAGTATCATTTTGTATGCCTGTGTGCGTGTCTGGGCCCAGGCTAAGGCCCTGTGTGGCGTGCTGTCCGTGTGTGGCAGTCAGGCTGGGAGAGGAGCCAGTTAGCCAGTTAGTCAGTTATGTAATGCTCGGGGATTTTGCTGAGCTTTTGCCAGCTCAATATTTGAGAATTCCTTGTGTTTTGCGGGGGTAATGGCATGGTGGCATGGTGGCATGCTGGCATATTTGTATTTGCACAACTTTATGGTCTATAAGAACATATGGCCATGATGCTTCGTCACACTGTCTTCTGTGGTAACTGTGGGTGTGTGTGTGCGTGTTAGGGGATGTTTGTGAGTGTGTTGCATAGATGACAATGGACAAAAGCTGGGTCCTGACCTCGTTCAATGATTTGCATGAAGTTGTTGCTGATTCTAGGGGGGGATGACAATGCACTCGGAGAAACACGTACAAATATATTTTTAAAAGCATAAGTCTTTCAATTCCCCCACGGCACACAACCGACGATTTTAGTTTTTAGTTTTCTTTCAAAGCTTAAATATTTATCACAGATATTTTAAATAAACAAAAGTTACTCAAGAACGCACAGCATAACACAACCGTGTCCGGGTGGCCCTGTCATCGGGGGGTTAGAGATCCTTACACAAAAGGCATTGCCTACTTACAGGCAAATCGATTGTTGCTGCTTTGTCCTGCTCTTGCTGCTGCTGCTGGTGCTCCTACTCCTCCTCCTCCTACTGTGGGCAGTGGCCCAACGTCAATTAGGCAATCCGGCTGAGGGGAATCAGTGTGCGAGCCATGGCGATAGCCGGTGCTGGAGCCGGACCCGGGGTACGGCACAGAGGAAACCCAATTTGCCAACAGGAACCAAGTGGGGGGACGACGACGAGGAGGAAGAACGTTGAAAGCACGGAATCGAAGCGGAAGTGAAAGCCAAATTGCAAACGAAATCGAGTCTAATCTCATCAGAGGGTGGGGACAACAACTGTTTGGGGGGGCGACGACGACGGTTACTCTCGACAGCATCCTCGTGGGCGTTGGAGTTCAT